ATAATGAATAAGAGTAGTAATCTTTACTTTAAAGTCGGAAATATGAGTAAAAAACAACAATCTGTGATTTCAGTGTGCTCTGTATACTAGTGAATAGACAACCAAACGGAAAAAATCATGTGATTGTTAAAAACGGAAGTTTTCGGTCATATGCACAATATAAATTATTTGAAATTTTAGGAACAAATAGTGTTTGGCAAGTTGGCAATGGTTACATTCTCAACGAAACGATTGGTATTATTGCACGGGTGTTTATGTCGAAACCTAATAAATAGTTGAGGTAGCCTTTGGAAATTGCTCTGATTTATGTTTGTCGGGACAAAAAAGAATGGTATCTCTAATGACTGTAAGAAATGTAAAATACACTGTGTAAATGGTTGAATAAGGGTGATATCATGACGAAGAATCAAGTGTTGTTGTGAACTATAAAATACAGAATTAACATTTTATTAATCATTTACAATTACATAGAAACTGTTATTTATATACAATTATAATATTTTTTGATTTGTGTATTATTTACAAAGAAAAACGGGACTAACAATTTATGTACAACTTTTTTATTTTTCTTGATTGACAAGTTTGGCACGCAAAGTTGATGGAAATATTGAAGTTGTTGCTGCATTGCAATGTATCAATACTATGTATGTAATAAAAAAACTTGTTAAATAAAACAAAATTGTATCTGAAATTTATAAATGTCAAATATATACATGTATGTGTGTGCCTGTGCGTGTGTACGTGTGAGTGTTTTGCATCTTTTCTTTGTTTTTTTTTTCATCTTTTCTCTATGTGTATGTCCTTTGTTTATAAATATACTTCATATATTTTATCGCCGAACGAATTTTTCTGTAATATCACGGGGGTATGTGGTTCGACCCATCGTGGTTATATGACGGAGCAAAAAAAATGGTTGTCCAATGTGTGGCCTGAAAAAAAGGTAAATGAAGGTTTTTTTTTCAGGAAAAGTAGGTCCTCGGTAACTTGAACCAAATAATCTAACAAAAAAAGAGTGATATACATGTAAAAATGATCACTTAAAAATCATTATCATTGCTTGATTACACGAAGTCCAATATCCGTCATACTGTTGTTTTTTTGTTGTTGTTTTTTTTTTTTTGGGGGGGGGGGGTTATTTTAATAAATTATTAATTACATTTAAATTAATATATTTTTCAGTTGTAACAACGTAAAATATCATATAAATATGAGAAACTTGACTTGCTCATAATTGAGCCCCCTTTTATGAATAAGTGATTTTCAATATTTCGAATTATAGTGATGAGGAAATGTTGATGATGATGATAATGATTTACTGATGATTACAATAAGGATGGTACCGATTATGATGATCGTGATAATTGCGATAGTTGTCGGATGATGGTGATGAAGATGATGATGATAATGATGTGGATGATATACTGTTGTTGTTGTTGATGGTGGTGGTGGTGATGGTAATGATGATCTGGTGATGATGATAATGATGGCGATGATATATTGATAATGTTATCGAGGGTCATAATGCTGATGATGAAGAGTACTGCTTGTTATGATGGTTTTGATGATGACAGTGTTATTATGAGGGAGCTTTCCAGCTAGCTTACGGAACGTTGGTAGTTCTACTCAGGTGACCGCATGAAATAAAGCATAGAAGAGCACCTGAGATCTTCCTCCCCCAATAAAGCTGGAAAGTCGCCAAAGGAACTATACGTACTGTTTTGGTGTGACGTTACACCCAACCAGATAAATAGATTATAATGATGGTGAATTTGTTGTTGTTGTTACTTAAACTAAATACTATGTTATTTGCTGATGAGAAGTTAACGAACTGTTGATTACGGAATGCCGTTAGGGCCATCGCCTATGAATGTGTTGATCTAAAACGCGATAGTCGATAGTACGATGGTGAAAACGCGAAATCACGAAACTACGATGGTGAAAACGCGAAAGCACGATGATGAAAACGCGATAGTACGATGATGAAAACGCGACAGTACGATACTACGATGATGAAAACGCGATAAACTATCGTGTTTTCACCATCGTACTGTCGCGTTTTCACCATCGTAGTTTCGTGATTTCGCGTTTTCATCATCGTACTGTCGAGTATCGCGTTTTAGATCAAACCATTCATAGGCGATGGCCCTAACGGCATTCCAGAATGCCGTTAGGGCCATCGCCTATGAATCTGAAACGCGATAGTCGATAGTACGATGGTGAAAACACGAAATCACGAAACTACGATGGTGAAAACGCGATAGTACGATGATGAAAACGCGATAGTACGATGATGAAAACGCGATAGTACGATGATGAAAACACGACAGTACGATGTTGAAAACGCGATAGTACGATGATGAAAACACGACAGTACGATGATGAAAACGCGATAGTACGATGGTGAAAACGCGATAGTACGATGATGAAAACACGACAGTACGATGATGAAAACGCGAAATCACGAAACTACGATGGTGAAAACGCGACAGTACGATGGTGAAAACACGATAGTTTATCGTGTTTTCATCATCGTAGTATCGTACTGTCGCGTTTTCATCATCGTACTTTAGCGTTTTCATCATCGTGCTTTCGCGTTTTCACCATCGTAGTTTCGTGATTTCGCGTTTTCACCATCGTTCCATCGACTATCGCGTTTCAGATCAACACATTCATAGGCAATGGCCCTAACGGCATTCCGTAGTTGATGGGTGTTAATAATAAAATGTCAATTATTCACCTCACCATTATAAAAACCAGGAAACTTTGGGTCAGATGCTTCCTTGTTTATATATTTAAGCTAAATCAGCCTAAAATCAGCAACATGTGTCAGTATTAACCAAGAAGCAGTAACTTTCAATTATTTTATTGATAAAGAAGCAATAGTTACAGACAAGGTCTTATTCATACTTTTTGACTTGTTTTAAATAAAACATACTTTTTCAGATTTCTATGTGAATGTAATTGTTTACTGTTTGTTGGTAGGAAATGAACAATATCTTACCAGCGACTAAAAATTTGGTGAATGCGTTTGTACTGTGACTCTCCAAGGGGAGGTTCAAAAATTGAAATTCTTAGCCTTAGATTTTTTTTTTGAAATTTTGCGAATGAATAAGTCAATACGGTTGATTGACACGTAAACATCTCCATCATGCCATATACCCTTGAATTTTGAATTATCGATCACTTGCCATTTCCTGCATTTATTAATAAAATTACTTTCTGTTACCAATATTTGTCAAAATTTGGTAACGCCACGTTCCATTACAGTTATTTATCAAAAAGCGGTATGTTCACTTTCCGTTACTTATATTCAATTAAAAAATGTCGATGCTATATTCCGTCACCTATATTGTGCAGACGCGGTATGTTAACTTTCCGTTACCTTTACCACAATCGTTAAGATAGAATGATATTGAAATGCCCTATATAAATCCCCATTAGTAAGATATATTATTTTGTAATATAAAATACAGTGTATACATTGCAATATAAAGATTTAATGTTTAAAATATATTGTGCAAGGGCTGCATTTAAAGATGCATTAAATTCAACATCAAAATATTACTAAATAACAAAACGAAAGATAAAAATTTATTTTTTGTCATAAATAGAATGAATAAATTAAAATCTTACGGAACTAGACATTAAACTTTTACCTCCAGACCGGGAACGAGAAATACACTTATTTTATTGTAAAGCACTGTTATTAATTTTTAATGATAAGTTTTTCTACTAAGGATAAGTGAACTATAACTCTTTGGGATAATCAATAAATTATCTTAAAATTTAATTGAGAGCTTCTGTATGGTACTCTACACCATATCTCGGTAGGTAGAGAACCGAATCACGTGACCTAGCCGAGACGTAAATTTTTAAATAAAATCCCAATTTCTTTTCAAACCAATCTTTTTAAAAAGCCCCTTCTATTTTTTATTTGGGAAATTGATATTTATTTTAAAATTATGTCGCTTTCCCTTTATTTCCATTTTTTGTTGAAAAGGGTTCTTCCCCTTTCTTATTTAAAATTTACAAAAAAGGGAAATAAATTTTGTAAAATTTTTTTCCGTTTTTTTTACTTTTATTTATTAAGCACTTGTGATTAACAAGACAATTTTCTTCTGATTTTACGGACAATAATTTATATACTAAATTTACGTAAAAATTACGAATATCCATAACTTTTTTAGTTTTTAAGAATATCTCATTATCAAATATGTTTTTTTTATGTCAACGCATCTAATTTAAAACTCATGGATAAAATTAAACTTAAAATTTGTTTTTCCAATATACATCAATGCAATTTTAAGAGGAAACACTAAGAAAAGCAAAGTAAAATTCTTATGTTCTGCATAAAAATTCTTAGTTTTAATATCCAGGTCCGTTCTTAAATTTCGGACTCGACAGAAGACGGAAACTATTGCTATTGAATTTTTCAAAGGGGAAAGGTTCGGAAATTTTATTCGAATGATTTTGGTCAGAAGAAAATAAATGTAAGTGTTCATTGAATTCAAACAGAATTTTTTTCCAAAATCTTGGCGTAGGATATATACAGTGTAGATCTACTTTCTATGGACTGTGAAGGCTGCGACTTTGATGTTCTAGAAAATCTACTAGAAACTGGAATGGTGAAATATTTCAAAAATATTCAGCTCGAGATACACAGCAGGTCTCAACCCGGTACGGAATTAGACCCAACCCGTTGTAGTCTAGAAAGTAGTTCTTTAACATTTTGAAGTGGCCAAATTTAAGTCATCCCTAGTTAGATTGGTCATAATTAAAGTGTATTTATTGCATGTGTGTAGTTTTTGTGTGTTATATGATGTGTTTTTTGTGTATTCTCCAGGAACTCATTTGTTGGCGGAAGGATTAAAGATGTACCCACCCACCAGCAGTCAGGAGTTTTCAAAGTGGTGAATTTAAACTGTGTTACAACAGAGTGGAAGTTTTCTGAAAAAAGTAGATGGCTAACCTATTATATTTTGGGCATCATTTGACTTAAATAGTGCTGATGTTTAAAGTTGAAGACAGTATATAATTCATCAAGAACAGTGGAATCCAGAATTAAGCCTCAAATGTGACTGATTTACTATAGAACAAAGAACACGAAAATTCACCAGGCCGTCACCAAGAGGAGAAATTTGAAAAATGGGAACTGGTTAATGGATATGGATGAAACTTTGCATCAGTGTTGTGTTTATGCATAGAAATCAGGAAAATAAAGGAAAACTGACAGGTTTGAAAATTTTAAATTTTATTTCAAATTTTTAATTTTGACATTTTAAATTGGGACAGATGTTGTTATTGTTATCTCCCCTTTAAATGTAGATGTCTGCTACTGTGTCAGTAGGTGCAGAAGAAGGGTACAGACCTTTTGCGTGAACGATTGTCCACATTTTATTGAATTAAAACTGTAAAAATACATTTAAAATAAAAATAATGAAATTTAAATTTTGTTTAAAGCAGTTAATAAATTGATAAATTTTATTTTTGCACCCTGTATTTAGCAGTTTACTAGATCTATTGCTTATTTTTATAACATTCATATGGAAAATGATAATTTTTAGAGAAATGCATCTTAAATCATGGATAAACCATGCATTGCAAGAAATTGGGGAGTGCATGTTTTCAGGCTGGTTACTGTTTGGCAAAAAAAGTGATTGGCAAGCTCATTTTAGAGGTCTTAGGGGCCCAAGAAGCACCGGCCATGGTATTCGAACAAGCACCATAGTAACCTATTGCTCATATGGACCACGCATTATATGCACTGATGTTTCAGCAAAGTATTGATGCTGTAGTAATCAGATTTGTAAATATTCACTATTGTCTTGTATTTCAATGAAAGCAGAACTGACAATTGAACAGCTAGGACAAATGTGATTTACATGTTGGAAATATAGGCATTTTCAGTGTAGTGAAACTTGATGTTTTGCTGTGCTGCAGAATGTATTTGCTAATACATACACACAAAAGATTTTCTAGTCATAAAACAGTGAGTTTATGGATAATTGGCTCATTTAGAAATAACACAGTTGATGTTGATTGTTTGTTGTTTGTTGTTGTAGCAGCTGCTACAGCAGTTAAATTAGGTTAGGTTTATAATGTCTAAACTGTTATTTCCATGCATGCATGCATTTTTAAGCACACAATATTTAAGCCTTCCTGTGTGAATTTGCAAATCAAGCCATTGATTAATTAAGAAATTATTTTCTTTCTTTTTTTGGATATCAGAATAACAGCATAAATGCCTCTTATAATTTCCTTCAACATGTACTAGTGTTGCATATTTTTTCAGACCATGCAGTTACCAAAGCCGGGTTTTGAGTACAGGACCTTACCTTATACTGGTTAAGATCTATGGAAGAACTCTTTCAGCTCAGTTTGGCAACAGATTTGTCAGGACAAGTTGAGAAGGTAATTAACTTATGTCTAGTTTGAAACTTCAGGCTATTGACGGCAACGACTCCCAATGCTCGGGCAATATTTGGTAGATATTTTGATGTATATCAGGAAAAGATTTCTCTAATTTTGACTACTTTAACACTTCTCAATGATTTAAAGTGGGAGACAGTATGTGCCATCATTTTTTAGCCTTATTTGTGTGAGAGTTGGCTAATCTTACTTTGTCAGAAGACATAGCCCATGGCGATATAGTAACCTCTTTGCTAAACTTAAGATTACCTCTGTTTGTCTTTACTAATATCTAAAGCAAACAATATAGGGTATATATCTTGGTACTGTACTTTATTTACCATGGTATATAGGTAAAAATCATAATCAGTAAGTTTTATTGTAATGTTGAAGGAAAAAGTTATGAAAAAGCACATTTAATTGTGATTACTTGTATTTTAACCAAACATTTCATGCTCTCATTAAATTAAATGGAGTTAATATTACAATTTTAAAGCAATAAGGACTTATTCTTTCATAAAAATAACTAAATGACATTAGCCGGTAACAACAAATTTTATTTGAAGAAAATCCATTGGCAAGAGATATGACAGAATTTGTGATATAAATTTTTGTGTAAAATTCTATTGGCCGAGGCTGATTTTTCGCATGAATTTTTATATTTAAGAAATTGTACTGCATTAATGTAATTTGTTAGAGACATGTCAAACCTATATGAATGTACTTGTATAACACTAAATTACTAGGAAATGAGTATAAATTTTGGCTTAACTTAAATTTTGGATTCATTTAGGTCTCAACCCGGTACGGAATTAGACCGAACCCGTTGTAGTCTAGAAAGTAGTTCTTTAAAATTTTGAAGTGGCCCAATTTAAGTCATCCCTAGTTAGATTGGTCATAATTAAAGTGTATTTATTGCATGTGTGTAGTTTTTGTGTGTTATATGATGTGTTTAAAAGTTGTTTTTTGTGTATTCTCCAGGAACTCATTTGTTGGCGGAAGGATTAAAGATGTACCACCCACCAGCAGTCAGGAGTTTTCAAAGTGGTGAATTTAAACTGTGTTACAACAGAGTGAAGATTTCTGAAAAAAAGTAGATGGCTAACCTATTATATTTTGGGCCTCATTTGACTTAAATAGTGCTGATGTTTAAAGTTGAAGACAGTAAATAATTCATCAAGAACAGTGGAATCCAGAATTAAGCCTCAAATGTGACTGATTTACTATAGAACAAAGAACACGAAAATTCACAAGGCCGTCACCAGCATGGTTTATTTTGTAGACAAGGAAGATTATTTGGGAAAACTGGAGACTGTTAGATTTGAAATAATAGAAATTTGAGATACGAATTTGTAATATCAGATTTGAATAAATCTTATGAAAACTAAAGAAATTAATAAAAGATCTTCTTTTATTGTATTTGTTCTTCGCCTAGATTGACACAGGCTGAGATAGGACGGCTATCTTTTAAAACTTTTTTAAAAGAACAAAACCATTACTCATTCTCAGACCTTACTTATCTGCAGACCACCTTACACATCAGCATAAAACCAAAACTCATCCAGTGTATTCGTTCAAAGTTTGGTAGCAACCTAAGAAAAGCACCATTTTTTCTGTTTTTGTTTTCGTCTCGCTTTTACGTCGAAATTGGACATATCTCGGAAATTTCTCTGCAAATGGCCGACTACCAATCTCACATGACTTCTGTTTCAGTGGTCAGAGATATATTTAAATGAACGTTAGACTCAATGTCCAAAGAGAAATATTTAAAGTATTCTGTAATAAATCATAACCATAACAGTATTGCATAATTACCTCGCAGATAATCACTTGCGGAGAAATTGGTGGTAATAAGGAGGAAAAAACGCCGATATAATCATAATAAAAACTGTGTTTAAATCCAAAAATAAAATCTTTATAACAGAACAAAGAATTTGATTTATCAATTTGAATTTAGTTTAACCACCACTTCATCTGATAGTACTTTATATCTATTATCCGGTTTTCTCCCTTTGATTTAAAACGCCACTGTTAGCTGATTGAAATACTCTGCACTTGATATATTCCAAATTTTTTTACTAAATTACAATTAATATGGAGGCAGGTGAAAACGTCAGAATTGTAAACGAATCTGACGGTGCAGTAGTTGAAAATATCGTTACCGATGAAGATAGTGAAACAGTGGCACAGGGCGAAGATAAGTCGCCTACTTTCGGTTTCACTGAACCATCTTGGAGAACTGATCTGTGTCTTGTTGTTGAAGGAACAAAGCTTTACGTCGCTAAAAATATTCTTTCACTTGCGTCACCAGTATTTGATGCAATGTTCCAATCTGACTTCAAGGAAAAGTCAAGTGACGAGCTAGAATTGCCTGGGAAGAAACTAAGGGACGTCTTAGAATTCCTTCGATGTATTTACCCAAACACATACACCCAAATTAATCGCGACAATGCTAGGGTCATTCTTCCTTTGTTAGAAGAGTACCAGGTCCTACAGCTAAAACCAAGATGTGAAGTAGTTATACTTGAGACTGTCTCAGAAGAAACATCGACGAATGATTTGTTACAGTTGTTGAAAGAAGCATGTTTGTATGATCTTAAAGCTTTGCGTGCTAGATGCATATTTCTTATATCATCTAGACCATGTGATGCATTGGACGAAAACTACTGTAAGTCGTTCCCTTCGGCAAGTGCATTAAATGAGATTTTTTGTAAAAATGTTAATAACATCAAATGAAGAAAAAAGTTAGTTGAGCTAGAAGAGGTTGCCGAAGAAAATGCATTGTTTAAGCAGTACATATCATCCGAAATACGTAACGGAAAGAAGGATTTGAAGTTAGATCCTGCACAGAAATGGGATGACAAGACCATAGTTATTATTGATGTTATTCCTGAAGGAACGAAAGAAAGTAAAGGAGTTTATACTAATATTTGGGAGGTTCCTCTGAAGATAAGTATAGAAAATAACGTCGGTAGGCTTTACATAAAAGTTGAAAACATCAGTGAAAATACAATCATCTGTGATATAAATGTGCTCTGCATACAAGTAAATAGACAACCACGTGGAAAAAATAATGTGGTTGTTCAAAGCGGAAGTTTTAATTCATTTTTGCAACATGCATTATTTGAAATTTTAGGAACACATAGTATTGAGCAAGTTGGCAAAGGTTACATTTTCAACGGAAAGATCGGTGTTATCGCACAGGTGTTCATGTCGAAGCCTAACAAATAGTAGAGGTAGCCTTTGAACATTGGTGAGATTTATATATGTCAGGACTAATACACTACATGTAAATATTGTTGAATTAGAGTGATGTTTTGATCAAGAATCATCAAGTATTGTTGTGTATTGTAAAATATTGAATAAACATTTTGGTAATCATTTACAATTACATTCTACACTGTTATCCTATTTATAGATCATTATATTTTTTTTGTTTTGTATATTGTTTACAAAGAAAAACATAGAAACTGTTATCTTACTTACTTTTCATTATTATATTTTTTGTTTTGTATATTGTTTATAAAGAAAAACGGTACTATCAATTTATGTGCAACTTTCTGATTTTTCTTGATTGATAAGTTTGTCACGCAAAGATGATGAAAATATTGAAGTTGTTTGCTGCATTGCAATGTATCAATACTATGTATGGAATAAAATACTTTTCAAATTTAAGTAAAATTGTATCTGTAAATTATAAAATTTAAATGTTAATTATAAACATGTACGAGTATGTGTGTGTGTGTGTAAGCGCGCGTGTGTGTGTGTGCGTGTGTGTGTGTGTGTGTGCGCGTGTGCGTGTGTGTGTGTGTGTGTGTGTGTGAGTGTTTTTGCATTCCCCCTTTTTTCTATGTATGTGTCCTTCATTTTGGGTACATCTTTTCTTGTATAAATAATTAAATATCTTCGAACGAACTTTCAGTAAACCCACTGTGTGTTGTGCTTCGACGTGGTTATGTGACGGAGCAAGTAAATGAGGTTACCCAGTGTGGGACCTAAAGAAAGGTAAATGAAGGTTCTTTTACTCGATTGTTTGAACCACATTATCTTTCAAAAATGAAGGGAATATATACAATGTACATGTAAAAAAGATCACTTCCATGATCATTGTAATTGCTTTATTGCACGAAGTCCGATATTCGTCATACTGTTGTTGTTTTGTTGTTGTGGTCTTGTTTGATTTTTAGTAAGACATACATCTAAATTAATATATTTTTCAGTTTTAACATCGAAAAATATCATATTAAAATGATTAACTTGACTTGCTCATATATAACCCCTTTATTGTAACTAAGAAATTTCAATATTTTCAATTAATTTTGGTAATGATAAAATGTTGTTGTTGATAATTTAATGATGATTACAACAATGATGGTACCAATGATGATGATAATTGCGATGATTGTCTGATGATGATGATGCGGATGATATACTGCTGATGATGATGTGCTTGTGATAATAATGATGATGATGATAATGTATTGTCAGTATTGATGAATATATTGACGATGATAAAGATGGTGTAGATGCATTGCTGTTGAACACGACGATGTAATGAAAATGATGATGATGTGTACTGCGTATGATGATGATGATTTTGATGACGGCGTTGTAGTTATTAGAAATCTATCCAGCTAGCTTACGGAACGTCGGTGGTTCTACTCGGGTGCCCTTCAGCACGAACGGGCACCTGAGGTCTTCCTCCATCAGTAAAGCTGGAAAGTCGTCATATGACCTATACTGTGTTAGTGCGACGTAGAACCCATTCACAAAAAAGTGTAATTATGGTTATGATATTGTTGTTGATGATGACTGATATGATGATAACGCAATCGCAATTTTTCGGCCCTTTCCGTCAGTCTTCGGATAAGGACATGGAACACAATAGTAAGAATATACAGAACGGATACGGTATTTCAGTCTAACCTACGCTAATTAAGAAACTAAACATGTAAACAAATAGGCATTTAATGTTTGGAGTTGTTAGTTTAAACAATATTTTATTCACAAAATAATACATGGTAGTACATTACAAATAGTATTGAGTTTGTTATACATATAGTAACATATTATGAAAATAATATTATTTTTAAGAACGAACACAATATATTTCTTATACATTTTGGAATTGGATATGAAAACAAGTATCAAATACTATAATTCATCTTCTAAGGTGTTGAAGGAAGAATGGCTTAGATTCGTTAAGTAATGTAATGTGTAAGGATATATAGATGTAATAATTATTATTATTAAGTTTTGCAGCTACAGTGCTTGGAGATTTTTGTCTTTGATAGCGTGAAGTAAATTTCTAGGGTAAACGGTAATATCAGACCGCTGCGACGTAAAGCGAAGCGATGCGACTATTTAAACCACTTCAAACCACTTGGCCCGAATTTGGTTCGGATCCCGATAGGGGTTTTTGATTCTTTCATGTGTGGAAGCTACCATCTATAGCTTACAGAACGTTGGTAGTTCTACACACGAAGGCGCCGGTTCGTGTCTGAAACAATCGAATATACACAGTTCAAGGGCACCTGAATCATTCATCCACCATTTAAGCTTGAAAGTCACTTATACAAATTGTGTTGATGCCACGTTATAAATCCAGCAACCACAAAGAAAATCTCACTGGTTAGCAAAAAAAAAACCCAGAAAATATGAAACGTAAACACGCGCTAATATTCCTTATAATAGGCGCGTTAACAAACTCCCAGAACTTGTATAATGTAATTTTGTTCAACTAATTAAAAAACAAAACAAAAAAGTTTATAATAAACATTCACGTATTCGATATCCTATTAATGTACTAGATCTATATAGTAATCCAGCAATTACAGTCAAAACAATCTAGTTACTGCACACGATTCAATTCAATTCAATTCTATTCTATTTTTGCACGCGATATTGATAAGCGATATCATATGACAATTATTTTATATTTTGTTGCATCGTTAATCTTTGGTGTTTAAGAGGATTTGCGACAAAAAATCAATACAATAGTCTTTACTTCGCGTCCCAGATACCGGGATTTTTCCCCCAGTTTTCTCCCTTTGATTTGTTACCGCCACTGTGACAAAATACAAATCGCGGATCGTTTAACTGTAAAAAAAAATATTACACTAAATATGGAGGCAGGTGAAAACGTTCAAATTGCTGTTGAAGATATAGTGATAGAAATTACCGTTACCGATGAAGATAGTGAATCAGTGGCACTATCGGAAATTAAGCCCTCTACATACGGATTCACTGAACAATCTTGGAAAATCTATCTATCTATCTCTGGATACTGCCAACCCCTCTTACGAGTGTTACAGGCAGGTATACATTGTATACATTTAAGAAACAGCTTTAAGATACAAGGGAATCCGGGAACCAGTCCCTAGCTCTTATTGAATAGACCCCTTGGTTCTTTTACATGCCCAGTGTATAGCACTGATACGGTAGTCAGACTATTCTCTCCCTTACCAGTTCCTCCCCTGACGTTTCCTCCCTGACGGTTCTCTCCCTATTTTGGGGGAGAACTGTCTGCATATTTGCAAATTAGAAGACAGTTCCTCCCCATTGTTAGTTTTATAATTACATTATTATTAAAGTATTTAGATGATAAATAAATGGGTAAGTTTATTATGAATTGATATAAATTAGAAAAAAATATTTTATTGAAGTGTTTAGATGTTAGATTATAAGATAAATGGGTAGGTTTATTATAAATTGTAATAAATTAGAGAGAAAAATACTTAATGAAGTATTCTGATGTTTAATTCAAGTTTCAATTTTGTTAGCATCATCAGCAACAATAAATCGGTAAGATTATTATCAAATATTAATATAAATTAGAGAAAAAAATATTTTATTGAAGTATTTAGATGTTTAATAAATTTGTAACTTTATTATCAATTGATATAAATTGAATTAGACAAACTTTTTTTTAACATATAATAATAATTCATCAATGATAATATTAGTTAATTATTCTGATTTTTTAGTTAGATGTAATGTATACTTTTTAATGTGTTTAGTCATTGAAAAAAATTAATGAATAATTTACTTGATTAGGATAATCATAAGATATTTTTTTTTTTTAATAAATAAAAATGAAATGAGGTGTTTATTAATTCCTTGGTGTTAATTAGATTAAAATAGCTGTGAAAAGGTGTTGATGAATAAGTATTGTATTAGTTATTTTGTATTATATATTGTTTCAAGTTAATTAATGACTACATGTTTTTAAATCAATTATTATTTCGTAAAAAAGTAAATGTGGAATGTGTTTGCATACCAGTTGTTGTTTATATTTATTTTCTAGAACATATTTGTTTCCACCTTATTCACTATTTAACAAATAAATGAACATCACAAGCTAGACCTTAACATAATTACAGGTGTATATCATTCACTGTCCAATGATCTATATCTCTCACAATAAAGGTGTTAATAGGATTAAAACTGAAAAAAGGTGTTAAATTTACAGGTGTTGATAGGATTAAAATACTGAAAAACACTTTTCAGCTGATAAACATAAAACATAAAATGCAGTAGCCTAATTAATTTGGCGGGAACGGTTTGACCCATTTTACAGACTTTTTTTTCTTACTGTCAAACCGTTACGCCTAATTTTAACTGTCATTTTTACGCACGGAAAATCTACCGGCAACACTATCGATAGTTTGGACTGATTTTTACTGCTTAAACCTGAAAGTAACTTCAATGTCCTCTAAAAATCAATAGAATATAAATTCTAGTACTAACTTCTCCTAGAAAAAATATTAGATTCTACCTGTCTTAACGCATACATGCGATTTATTTCAAATTTGTACTGTATACACTATCTGCGGCGGACATGTTATGACGTCATCGTAAAAAATCGATTCCGTGAAAGCTGGTAGTAGCAACCAGTGTGTCTAGCAGGTAAGTGTGGGTTACGCATGAAGATTAAACTTAAAAAAAATATCGGGGAAATAAATCTATTCATTATTTTTAAATAAATTTGTGCATTATTAAATACTATTGAAAAGTATCAATGTGTTAAACCTAAAATACAATGGTAGCAAAGGCTCCGTACAAGTACTGTTGCATGTTGTTTAATATTTTTTAAATGTTTTAATACATGTACTCAACATTTATCAATAGATGGTTTGCCTTCTTGTTTACTGCTAATGACTGCCGATAAAATACAAACTTCATTTATACATGCATATTTAAATGACAATTAAGAATGTAAAAGAAATAAAGGAATTCTTTTTCACCTATTGCTGATATATATTATAATACCATATTAAACCTACTGATAAAGTTAAATGTCTTCTTGACATACTTTATTAATTTACTAAAAAAGGAACTTTATTGTGATCCAGCCATATCCTGTGTAACTATAAGGGAAGGGTCACATATTTTAATTGAAATAAATTTTAAGTAGAGGATATTAAAAGAAAGTCATTGAGAAGATAAGAATTTTCAAATGAACAGATTAAGAGACTTATACATGTATAAGGTGTATGTCTTGTTGTTTCATACTGTTTTGGTGACACTTTTTGTTTGTGTCCCTTGTTGTTTTCTCGTCTATGTTAAGTATCTTCCCTTTGCCCCTAGTTTTATTTCTTTATTCCGCCCCCTCCCCCTTCCCCGAATTTCCTATCCCCTACAACTGTGCCAGTTTACTTAATGGTCCTACTAATCATTCATTTATTTATTTTCTTTGATTTTGATTTCCTTGTATGTTACCATTATTTCTTTATATTTATCATTTTGTATCATTTTAGTGATAAGCCAGACCGTGCTCTCTCTTGCGCCGTCCTGTTTTTGTTTAGGATCATCCTCCTGGGTTCCTTGCAAATGGTTCTTGTTCCTGGGTCGTGCGGGGGTTGCGTTCATTGAACGCGGCCTTTCCTTGTTCATCTTGTTTATCATATTTTATACTTGTATACCGAACCGAACCATAACAAACAGATAATGATTATCAATAAAAGGTTCGACAAGCAAGCAAAGAAATGTAAAGAAAA